GAAATGGTAAGGATTAGTGTGAGTGTGTGATTCTGTAGAATTCGCGTTCTGCAGATTATGCAGTGTCGCTATGCGAGTTGTCTCGCATAGCGAGATCCTGTAGAGGGTGCTTACTGTCTTGGTAATTCGCTGTGCGAATTACCAGAGGGTGATGCTCACTGTTTATGGACTTGCCATGGCGAATCCTGTCGCTATGCGACTAGTGGTGGTCTGGGATCACTGCCCATTTAATTCGATGGGCGAGTGAGGCACATAGCGAGAACTTTGGGGAGGTTGGTCTCTGTCTGGATTCCCGCATAGCGACCTGGGTGCGCTATGCGAGAGGTTTGAAGTCCGATGTATGTTGCGACTTAATTCGCTATGCGAACTAAAGTGCGCTATGCGAAATCCTTCTATCTCGCCTTGCGAGTAGGATGCGCTGTGCGAATTCTTTCGGGTCAAGCCTCTTCTTTTGCTCTCTATCTTGATTGATTCTAGTGTATGAATGTATGGGATGCGTATGGACTTACTGTGATAATATTTGGTATCTGGATATTCATGTATGGGTTAAGTTTCAAAGTGTCAGTACGGTTCATGAACGTAATTCCACGGTCCTCAAGGAGAGGATACATGGTGGTGCTCAGGTGGTGTGTAGAATGATTGCATGGTAGCTCAGTCTTGGAGGTTTTCCTGACGCTCCAATGGTCTTTCATTCTCAAGTAGAGAGGATTGATCCATGTGGTGAGGAGTAGCAGGAGATCCTAGTCTTGGAGGCTTCTAGTATGCTCCAGGGCACGGAACGGACTAACCTCGTGAGTGTGGTAGGGTAAAACCCATTGGCAACGGCTTTGCAAAGCAGTAGAGGCCACCAGAGTGCATAACCCGCCATAGTTCGATAATCATTCTGGTCCGGACTAGTCGGTCTATAAAACAATGAGTCTTGTGTTGTCAAAGTATCATGTTTGAGTGGCCTTTGCATGTCATGTGTGATTGAATAACATGATTTTTATATCTAGCTCACCCTTGCTTTTGTGTGCTTGTTGTATGTGTTTTCTTTTGCGATGATCATCCACTCGGATGGGAGCAGATGGCGAGGAGGTTCCTTTGGAGACAGCTTTGGAGGTTGAGGACAATGTTGCTGCCTAGTCTCCTAGGATGTTATTAGTTGATCTTGTATTCTGAAATACCATTTCCCTTTCAACTCACATTTTAGATATCTTTAGAGTTTAAGCTTATATTCTGAAGTTACTTTGAGGATAACTGTAATCCTATTTACTCTCAACTGCTTTCCTATATTACGCACGATGACGTCCTTATTATATATATGCTTTCTATATAATTGGAATGTGACAGTTATTGACTATAATATATTTATTAAAAGTTAATTATATTTTTTATTATATTTAAAATGAATATTTAAGAAAAAAACTCATGGTTAATCCTAATTCACTAGGTTTTTGTCAATATTTTGATATATTGGGTTTTTTTAATGGAGATTTTTTATTTTATAATATTTCTTTTTCTCCAACATATGTAAGTGAGATCAAACCATGTGATTCAAACCAAATTGACAGTTGTGATTATGTCATGATTATGTCTAATTAAGTCTTAATAGGTCACTTTTATTTCTTTTTATATATTGGTTGTTGTAACCAAAATTGAAATCCTTTTCGTAACATAAAACAAACCTGTACGTATACTCAATAAATTATAGTGACCATTCTCAATTATGCGCTCTTATTTTAGTTTTGTATCTTTCGTTTTTTTTTACATTAGTTAATGTGAAACTTTTAGTGAACAACACGTATAACAATATTTAGTTAAGTTTTTAATTTCCATTAAATGGTCATTGTTATATATATATTTTCTTAGATTTATGTGCTTTATATCTTTTATCTTTATATTCTATGAGATATTAATAATTTTGTTGGTACATTTATCACTTACCTATTTTGGGGTTATTTGTTTGGTAAGTAGGGAGGAGAAATAGAGCATAACTCTACCCAAATTAATCGTGTCTAGAGATGGCCATTAAAGATGTATCTTTCCTTCGGCCTCAAATTGAACAGATTTCACTAAAATATGAGAGAGTATTCATTGAAGTTACTTATGGCATATTACCAAATATTTACTTCACAATAACATTAACATAATATAAGAAATAAGAAAGTGACATGTAAACGTGTTGTGATTATAATATAGTCCTTTCTTCCTCTCTTTTTTGGCTAAAAATTTAGGATGGCAAGATAATAATCTATACTTTAAGATAGGGAAAAGTTTCAAACTCAGACACTTCTCATAAAAATTATTATTATTATTATTTCAATTTTTTAAGAAAATAATTAGGAGTTTGAACTCTCACCTGTCCTTAAATATGTCTTAATTTTGTAATAAAATAAGAGAAAGTTCCATATATCTCACTTTATATTATACTAAATGACATTAATTTTTTTAATATATGTTTATGCTAAAATGGGATAAGGATAATCACCTCTGTAAGTTCTTGCGTGTCGAGCGTTTTCCTGATTTCTTACTTCGCGCAACCGATTGGTATAGGGGTTGACTTGTAGGATACACTCCGACGCTCAAGTCAAAATCTTTCTCTGTGGGTCTTTTGTAATTTAATAGTAAGTAAAATGTGAGTTTACCTCGAAATTAAACTCTTATATATAGAGTTTATAATAATAAAATGTTTTTTTGCACGTCAACCGCTAAGTCCTTTCCATCTCGTTCGTCCCATATCCCATACCTGATCGGTCAGCTATAAACATGTAGTAACAATATATATAGTTCTTTTATATATATGTTTTATAAAGATCAGATAGTCGAAATCAAGGCTATAGTTGAGAATGAGCATTCCAACAGTGCTAGTTCTACCATTCCCTGCACAAGGGCATGTGAATCCGATGATGATCCTGTCAGAAAAGCTGGTGGAGAATGGATGTAAAGTGGTTTTTGTGAACACAGAGTTCAACCACAAGAGAATGGTGAGTTGCATGGTGGAGCAACAAGATCAAAACTCACTGATAAAGTTGGTGTCAATCCCAGATGGCTTGGAACCTGAACATGACAGAAAGGATTTGTCAAAGATGTTTGATGTTGGTCTAAACAGCATGCCTCATGCACTTGAGAAGCTCATCACAGAACAAAATATCATTTCCAAATCTGACAACAGAATCAGATACATTGTTGCAGATGTAAACATGGCATGGTCATTGAACGTTGGCTGCAAACTGGGTATTAAAGGAGCTATATTCTGCCCTTCATCAGCAGCCATTTTTGCCTTACTTTACAACATACCCAAACTCATTCATGATGGGATAATAAATTCTGATGGTAAGATTTTATTTTAGAATAATAATCCTACAAACTTACTTTTATCTTCGTTTGAAACGGAATATAAGAATAAAATGGTAATAAAAATATAAATATTTGTAATTTTTTTAAAAAAGGAAAAAATAAAAAGTAAATAAAGATAAGGTTAAATAAATGTAAAAAGTTTAGATATGTGAAAAAATATTTTTCTTTATTTTATTCTACTATGTTGCCAGATATTTATTTACTTAATTTACTCACTTCGTTTCTTGTTAAATAATTTTTAAGTTATCAAAACTGTCAGACCAGCATGTTTTGCCTCACCCGTTATTGATTTCTGAAAAACGGATAAAAAAATCGATGAGTTGGTAGTCAACTTTTTTTTACTTTTGTGTTTTTAAAATTTGTTTGCATATATAAATACTAAAATTATATTTAATTGTATAAATATATTAAGTATATTAAGTTATATAAATATTTTCTAAATTTTTAGTTAATTAATATTTGTAATCAAATAAATTAATATAATTATTACATTTAGATATAATCTGTCAATATGGATTAAATAGCACGAATTAAAACAACCTAATAGATTTAAAATTAATCCAGTCAACCTTATTTTCTCAGACAAATGGATCGTAACCACTTTGTATCTGCTAATTATTTTTATTTATGTAATAAGGTGGACAGGTAAAACACAAATTAAAATTCAATAAAAAAAATTAACAATATATTGTTTCAATGAATTAAAAAAAATTATTTATTATTATTTTATCACAACTGTTTTCTCTACGTTTCACTTTTTTTATGTATAAAAATCTAATTTTATTTCGTCTAAGTAAAATTAATCATTTTCCAACATTTTTTTTCATGAATACCTTTTCTACTAAATATTACATAGTCAAGGCTCCTGTCAAAATTTGTGTTAATATACCTAATAAAATCATGTAAATATCTAATAATGATATCTGTTCCCATAAAACTACACTTACTAATTGTATATTTTTTTATTGCAGGGTCATTGTTGACCACCAAAAAGACAATTCAACTATCACCAGGCAAGGTAGAGATGGATACAGGAAGTCTCTTCTGGTTGAATTTGGGTGTCACAATGAATGTTAAACACATGTTGAATTACTTAGATACTTGTGCAAAATCTTCAAATTTGACAGA